TACAAAGCACATTCAAGCAAAAAAAAGAGACATTTCAAACATCAGATAAAGTTGTCTATGGAGCAACTGGGTACAGCCCAATGTGCGGCGGTCAAGAAAAGTAAGATATATGTATAAATAGATTAGAATTATCTCGGAGAAATTATCTCAGAAAACCTATGCAACAATGCAAGAGAAGTTAAAGCATTTTACGTCTTTATTGGTTGACTAGCTGTTGCTCGCGTTTTTGTTAATAATAAAGAGAACAGCCTACGTTACTTGCAGATATACTAAGTTTCTCATGTTTTTTTAAAAATATCAACAATTTTAAAAATCGGCCCAGTAGTTTTTACGTGAATCGAATACATTCAAAAGTACGAATCGTTCCTCTTTTATAATATTAGTATTAAATTACTGGTTCTTAAAATATCTTTAAACTTTTCCTGTTCCATAATTATTAAATGATTGGTATATTTAAAAATACATACGATATGACGTTAACAAAAACTATTATAAAATCGATTGCAGAATCGTAACGACATGGACGAGTTGCCAACTTGTCAATGTCACTGAACTGCGTAAAATATGTTACGTTTAGAAAGTATACATTAATGAAATTATAGCTCATAATTGTTTGTCTGTTAAAACTGGAATCTGATCTCATTAATTTTGAATTTACACTAATTTTTTGTACGGATTATCCTTTTGGCTATAAGTTTTATCCCTCTCGAAACTTATTTAACATTCATTTTTATAAAAAAAGTATGTAATTCAACTAGATATAATTCGTAAACTACTAGGTGTAATAAAAAGATATTAGCAATATAACGAATTGCGGTGTATTTATTGATGTTGAAATCAACTTTCTATCTATATCCACAACAGAATTACAAGGGTGTCACAGTCACAGGTGCCTTAAACCACTTCGAGTAAAAAGTGTTTTAAAACAATGGCGTGTGCATTGCCGCGCACTCAGATAAGGAATTGTTCGAAAAAGCAGAAAAGAAGTTTGTCATTTGCAGTCTTTGACCTTTTATTTAAATTATACTAATTATGTGCCAAATGGCAACATTAACACTATATTCAAATTTTAGTTTTGTATATCATTATGCCTAGTTTATACTTGGCCAGTACAGTTGGAGAGTAGCACTCAATAACTGACCTGGCTTTCGATTGTTGTAATGTGAACTGGTACTAGTGTATTCATACAATCCTTACCTGGCCTGCATTATTAACAAGTTTGTACTGGGAATTATGCTTTAAAACTTGTAGACTATATTACTGTTAATTCTGGGATACAGATTATAGAAATAAAAATGCAATGTTCACATCATGTTTATTATTCTTCCATAGATTTAGTTCCCCAGAGTTTTATTTCATCTTCACATGCACTTAACAAGTAACTATCAGTAGGATGATGACTAACAGATATAACAGGTTTATTTAAATTATGTATTAATTTCTTTACACATTTACTACTTATCAAATCATAGTACAATATCTCTCCACTTGCAGAACCAGATATTATTAAACTATCTTTCTCATTAATAGCATTTTCTAGAAGATAATCTTTACTTTCATGACCAGAGAAAGTATTTAACAGTTCTCCGGAATCTTTATCAAATAACTTAACAGTACTATCTGCACAACTTAACACATAACACTGTCCATCATGCGTTATACTACCAAATGTTACTATTTGTCCGATATAATCAGATATCATTTTACCAACACGTATATCGTATAATCGTACATGACAATCCACTGAACATGTTAAAATTTCATTATTCGTAACTTGTATAGATGTTATTGTGTCTTTTGCATCTTTTAAAACTTGTACTGGTTCTTGTCTTCTGCTTACAACATCCCAAAAGGCAACTGTATTGTCTACGGAGCCAGAGACAGCCATAGATGACTCTTCATTGAATTTTACGCAAGTTACAGAGCTAGCATGTCCACGATATCTACGTACAGGCTGGCCAGTAGCCACATCCCATAGGATAACAGACTTATCAGTACTGCAAGAGACTATATGACTGCTATCGCATGAACCTGCAGCATCTAAAACCTCATTCGCATGTCCTCCATAAGTTTTTAAAAGTAATTGACGATGTGGATTCCAGAGTTTTATTTTCTTGTCTGCGCCGCATGTTAAGCAATAAGAACCGTCAATGTTGAAACGTACTGCACGTATCGCCTGCTGTTTGCATTTAATCGTTACTAAATTGGATAACTCTAGTTCAGTCATCGTTTAATCTTCTCTCCAAATAAATATATAGTAAATAACTGCTTGTTTATTTTATTAAGATCCAGTAGATCATTTGCCAATACTTATATTATTAAGGAATTAATAAAAGTCAGTATTTTGAACAAAAAATAGTATTTTTCTACTTTATAACACAACGTTTGTTTTTGTTTGGTTACGATCTGTAATCTGTCACTTGACAATTTGTCAAAAATAAAATGTAAAACAACAAAAGGCAGATTAAGACAAAGCCAAACAATAAAATAATATATACAATTAAAATTAATATTGTACATAGAATATTTTGCTGTTTAATTTAGGAAAATGATTTTTCTCTTAAATCTAATAAATCGCCAAATGTGAAAATAATCGATCTTCCAAAATCGATTTTATCATCAACTTGAAGTCGACAACACTTGTCTCTATTTTTTATTTGTCACAAGTTTTTGCAAAGCGTCATTTTAATAAAAGTTTGTCTTTCGATTAATAGATATCACAATTCCTTATTGCTTAATTGGTTATCTCCAAGGATATTTGGTAATTTATTAAACAGAAGTTTACACTAATTCGATATTGAAACGCTGACGTCATATCGCAATCATTCTATTGTGAAAATGTCTGTTGTTGAATACGAACTATTGTGGAGTAATAAACACAAATGTGCTAAACTTGAAGCAGATTGTGCGCAGTGATATCAGAGAAGATTTAACGGTTAAAGTAAGTAACTTTATAATGTACCACAATTTGCAAATTGAAATGAATTTAAAAGGTAAACATCGAAAATACGTTCGTAAATCAGTTGAATAAACATAAAAAAAGTAACTGTGGCTTTCTTCCATCAAAACCTGCACATTATCAAGAGAAGGATATGTTTTTATGAGTTTTTCAATAATGAAAACTCACTTATTTCTTGGAATGATGGAAGGATAGAGATCTGGATATCTTGTAGGTCTTCTATAGGGTAAATAAACAATCTCCCTACCCCTCTAAGTTACAAGTTATTCAATTACTCTCTTATATATTTTCTTAAACCCTTGAATGTTATTGTTTATTTTCAAAGAATGTTTATAGTAAACATTTTTCAATATTATTGTTATGACGTTTTTGTTTTGTATGGATGTTTGAGGGTTTGTTCGCACATACCAGGGTCAAATATAAGTTTTTTTATCTATACATGTAATAAAATTGGAGTGTCTGTTTGTTATATGAAAAGAAAAATTCCAGATTCTGGGAAAATGATGTATTTGCATTGCTGATAACTTAAAAATATTATCCATCTGTCTGTCTGCAAGCCGCGTTTGTTCCGGATTATTTCAGAAATGGCTGGGCCGATTTCGACCAGATTTTAATAGAAGGTCTGCAATAGAGTGGCTGACATATTATGCTTTATTTTTAAATTTGCTCTCTCAAAATGGCATAATATTTGCGGGCGACAGCTCGTCGCAAATAAAGTTAAAATTTATACACTTGTAAATTTCTCGATTTGTATTGATTTTTGTTTGAGTAGACACTAATTTTCATTATTTGGGGGTTGAAAATTAGACCAAAAATGGTAACAAACCTTTTTTATCACCTAAATTTAATCAGAGTTATATAGTTCAAAGGGCTGACTGTATTGCAAACAGTAAATGGATGGGTAGGCAGAGATCAGATTACCATTTATTGCCATATTAAAAAAAATAAAGCATCTTTCACAAAATACTTGTGCATTACTTTCTCCGTAATAACTGTTCATGTAATTAAAAACAATTAAAACACTCGCTTCAGACTAATTAAGATGCATAATTATTTGAAGTGCTTGTTAATTAGTTCTGAGGTTTTCAAATGTCATGGCTCAGAACATATTATGAACACAATTTTAGGTGCTTTAGTTGTTGCTTGGCTTAAAAAATATGAAGGAAGGCTTTGAGATGATGTTGAACCTCCAACATATTTCATAAGATGTGTACAGTTTTCTTTAATTTGTATTTTCATTCTTTTATGCATTTTCTAAGTTTCTTTGGATCGAAACAGATGTACTTAGAGTTTTATTTATTACTTGTCACTAATATTATAAATGTAAAAGTTTGGATGGAAGGATGTTCAGAGTTTGTAGCCTAAATAGCTTAATGGATTACAATGAAATGTTTTAGAGGATAATCTGGAAGAAAACAAAGGCAACTTTTTATCCTATAAATTGTTATGGTTCCCGTGGGACAAACTTAATAGTTTGATGATAATTCATCATCACCATCCTTCTTATCCTACTCCCGTAGGGTTGGCACAACAGCTTTTTGTCCTCCAAATAACTCTATCATCTCAGTCATGACTCCCTTCTTGATCATGTCACCTTTCACGCAATCCATCTCTCTTTCTAAGTCTACCGCTACCAGTGTAACCTACCGTGTGGAATAAACTATTATGTTTATTCATATTTACTCAATGATTCTGCATTGGTAAAGCATATTGAAATGTGGCATACATATAAAACAAAGTCTGGAGTAACACATTAGGATATGGTATATCCCGAAATATTGTCAGATTTAAGAGGGATACGTAGTTTTTGTTTTTCGTATGTTTTATTAGCGTAGAAGTCGCGGGCAACATCAAGTCACTAATAAAATCAAAATATCGTTACATGAAAGGCGTAATATTTGAACTTTTTTGTTCAGTGCTTTTTTGTGACTACGTCACTTTAAGAGGTACAATTATTTATAAGTTTTTTATTAGCACTTTTTAACAGTTATCTGTTCAGCGGTACGTGGAAGTCAACGAACTTGTATAACGTTGTGTTAGACTAGTAATGTGCCCTGACTTCACATGAGTTTAATTGTTTTAATGTCACTATTTTTGATTTATTAGTTTAACACACTTAGATACTTAAGCAGTATTTAGTATCCTATAAGGATATTTTCTAATTAATTGAAACACCTTTAAATATATATAAAAAATGAAATTAGGGTTTTAATTTTAAAGGAGACACATCGTTAAATGTATTGGTAGAATATCGTGTTATATGTCAAGGCTTTAACGAGTTTAATTTGAATTCAGTTTGCTCACAAATTCGTCCTCTATGACCTTGACGTGAATGGTCGGAGACATTCCATTCAATTAATGTTTAACTTAAACTTTGATGGTATCTAAAGTCAATGATTCCGGTTTAATACTGAGACGTGTTTATGTTGATTAGCTTTCGCCTGCAAACTTCGTTACCGCGCATTTTTAAAAAAGTCGTCTATCAAATTCCCGCATGCATCTAACAGCTATCTTTGAGTCAAAGTTCCATCATAATAGGATCCGTTACGTCATTTTGACATCGCGGAATTTATGCCTATCCATATGCTACCCTCCAGTGAAAGTCACGTCGAAATCGGCCCAGCCGTTTACCAGTCTACCCGGAACAAACACGGATTGCGGACTGACAGACAAAAATTTGGACTGTGGACTAAATTGTTCGATTCTTTATTACATTTGTGACTCCGGGGTTATGCTCTTGACTTGTAATCTTTGTTCGAATCCCGCCATGTACCAATGTGCTGAATTTCATATGATGTTACGAGAACATCGTGGTGCATGTACATATATAAAGAAATTCATAGATATGTGTGAAGTCCCTCACTGCAGCATTATTTCCAAGTCTAAGGGTGGGGACTGTGAATAATTAAGTTGGAGATAACATATTTTATTTATTTTACAGGAACATAATGGCGACTGTACAAAATTTGGATAACAATAGGACCATCCCTTTGATGGAAAGAGATAGCATGAACAATGAGGTGTCATCTTCTAGTGACGATTGTCAGAACGCGATTGTCCAGTTCAATAATTTCTATAAAGCAAGATACAAAGAATCGACTTCAGATAATGAAATAGATCAGAGAAAAACAATCCATCGCAGTCATTATAAATCAATGGGTAATATAAATGAGAACTATTCAAGAGATTTTAGTAGGAATGTACAAAATAGTATAAGTAATGTAGATTTAAGTTTACATAGTACTGAGGTTAAAAAATTCGATACATTACAAATACCCATAGTTGGGTATGAAGTGATGGAGGAAAGAGCAAGGTTTACTATTTACAAGTTGAAAGTTGAAGATGACAAAAGGGACCAATCTTGGTTAGTTTTCCGAAGATATACAGATTTCGTACGTTTATATACTAGAATAAAATCGGAATTACCTAATATTTTGCTCCCTTTGCCTGGTAAAAGATGGTTCCGTGATAATTTTGAACCGGCATTCCTAGAAGAAAGAGTTCGTGGTTTACAAATATTTGTAAATGCAGTACTTTTGAAATTACCAAATCATCCGGTTGTGAGGGAGTTTTTCTGTTTGGATGAACCTCCGCAAGTTTTTACTTACCAACCTGAAGTGCAGGCTGTTTATGGTGCGTTGGAGGACTCAATAAGTAGTTTAAAAGTTCAATTAAAACAGAAAGATGCGACAATAATGCATCTACAACGACAGTTGGCGGAATTAGAAATAAAAACAAAGAATTGTCCGAATTGTCAAACTTAAATATTTCGTTTGTTACCTGACTTTTTTATTTTTGAAGAAATAAGATGGTAAATGAATTAATAGAAGTCATGTTAGTAATTTTTCTTTTACCTAAATCTAGGTAAAATTCTTTCATATAATATTTGAGATTTTCATTAATTTACAATATGTATTGGTTTTTTAAATGCGGTAATAACTTTTTGAATGTCATAGAGTAATAAAACGGCAGTCATACATTAACAGAAATGTTGGTTATTTAAAAAAAAATTTAGCTGTTATAACTTTTACAAGATTTGTCCTTGTAATAAATTGAATATTTAGGGCCTGTCTCACCAAATTGTAAATTGATGTGTAAAACAGTGATGGAAATATCGGATTTTGTTCCCTTATCTGACTTATCATTTTTAAGCTATCTGAGTCTCTATCAGCCAGTGGTGGGACAGGCCCTAAGACCTTTAATTATTCTATATTTATGTTAGACACTGACGTCATAAGTTTACAATAGGATACCAGTCTTTTGGCCATGTTATAATTTCGAGAGTTTTTACAGTTTGTTGAAACAGGTAAATAAAGGTTTACTATATGTACAAATTTAAAGTGATATTTACATTTTTCAATATAAAGTATTTTTATATACATAGTTCGCAATAGTTGTTATAAATGTTTCTGGTGCTCACGATGTCACTAATTTTAACAAAGCATTTGAAATGTGATTGTTTTAATGTAATTTTAGTTAGAGATACACATGTTTTAGAATTATTTTTGGTTGCTACTAACTTTTAAATACTATCTTGTAGTGGCATTTAAGATTTATTAAGATGTTATTTCAATATTTTTTTTGTAAGGTTGGTGTAAATTAATATAGGATTTTGTAGAATAATAGAATTATTTACGACCATTTTAACAACGCATTTTAAATGTATTTCATAGTTTACATTTAATGTACAAAATACAATGTTCAAATAACTGTAGATTAAAAAAAAATAAAATATCACATTTCAGTTATTGTAAAGTTTTTCTCAAGTATGTAATTTCTAATATAAATTACTATTAATGAATTTTATCCATATAGAAACATCTATATTATACGGCTTGAAAGCCTAAACAAAACTACGTTAGTTTGTAGTTACGTTTCTCTATATGGTCAAGTTTACCATATAACTTGTTTAAGTGTTAAGATATATTCATAATAAAGTGTTCAAAGCAATAACTTAAGTGCCTTCAGATTTTAGTTTTAAGATAAATGTGCGGTGATTTTAACAATAGTATTTTCCATACAGGTTTTTCAGCATTTGATATGAATTCATTAAAGTTATTTTTAATTTATTTGGTTGTTTTAATATCTTTAGTAAATAAGGTAAGATTCCTTCCTTCACTAAATTATGCAGTATACAGTTTAAGGTAAGCCGCTATTATATTTATTTTTGTATAAAATTGCAATACTGCATAAAAATGCATTTCGGACAAATTCTTTTTTAGATGTCGAATAGTACCTTCAGTTAAATTATTGCGTTGATCGGAACACAATCGAAAACAGCTGTTTCTTTTTATGTATCTGGCAACATTTTTGAACTTAACCTTGACATTTGAAGTAAACAAAATTGACATTGACATGAAAAGAATATATTGTCAAGTCAATGTTTCACGAATTTATCAGTTAAAAATAAAGAAATATGGAAAGCCTTTGCTTAGTATGTTTAAGTAATGATCGAAAATTATTTCGCATGTCGACACAATTGGCAGGAATTATGGATATGATACTACCAGAAATTAAAATATCGAAGTTATGTTGGGAATGCTTGGCGAGTTTAAAACATTTATTAAAGTTAAGAAAAAGGGCCTTGCACTCTAAAGATATATTGGATAAACATTTTAAGGTATAATCGTATTTTATTCTTACAAAAAATGGTTGTTAGGTGCGAGCCGGCTCCGATATCATTCTCTACATATTTAGCGGGAAGGATTGACTACCGTTACCTTAAAAGCTGTCTAATGTTGCACTTTGCTCACTGAATTTTGTAATTGTAAAATATTAGTTATATTCTGTTCTTTTACTAATAGTATAAGTGACTTACTAGCAATTATATGAGCTGATTGTTAGGTTTGAAATAAAATAATAATTATTAGTCCATTGGTTACTCTCCTTTTCACCCTAAGCCTCGGTTTTCTGGTCACCCCTGCTGAGGGAATCACGTCTGGCTGGTTTTATTTATGTATTTTATTACAGTTTGTGTGTTACATGTTTTATTATTATATTAGTATGTATATAACAACATGTTTTTTTTATATAAATGCCAGCCAGACAGAGACAAAATAACTTTATAAAGATAATTAATAGCTATGTTACCTTTTCATGGTTTCCTTTTTTAACAGTCTATATTGAGTTATTACACTGACCTCTATATTTAACTGTACAGGTTTGAAGTCGTATTATTTCATGCCTAATTGAATTTCATCATGTAAATTTTGATGATAGGTATTTTAAACTTGCAATATTAAAAAATTAGAAGCAGTGACCTGCCCTGTGAATATCTATAGAGATGGGTGTTAGATCCTCAAAATGCAGTAACATGATTAAGACTGGCCTACATTGAACTGAAAGATTCAATAAAAATAATTTAAAAAGTATGTTATTTTTAGGTAAATAAAACACCATTATCTGTCCAAAGCAGTTCAAATTTGGGCTCCTGTTATATATTTACATTTTCACTTGGGGATAATCAAATAATTGAAGAAACAAATGTTGCTAAAAAAGAACTAAAGTTACCTGGCAACCCTGATCTACAGATTAACAAAGAATTAGGCAAAAGTGATTTAGGGTTGTCCAAAAATGTATCAGATAGAGAATTGAAAGACAAAATTAGTGTTGATACTTTAAAGAATTCAGTTAAGAGTACAAAAAAGAAAGTAAGAAGTAAAAAGAAGAGAGTACCAAACAAACAATACAATTGCAGAGAATGTAAGGAAAAATTTGAGTAAGTTACCTTTTACTAATTAATCAAAATACTTAATATTATAAGTGTGAAAGTTTAGATGGATGGATAGATGTTTGTTAGAGTTTGTAGGCTAAACGGCTAAACGGATTTCGATGAAATTTTGGTATAGATGTAGAGGACAGTCTGGTAGAACACATAGGCTACTTACTTTTGTTTTTTCAATTCCACGCAGACTGAGTCGCGGGCGAAAACTAGTACTAATATAAATGTAAAAATTAAGATGGATGAATATTTTATTTACTCAGTGGTTTAAGCACTTGACTTGTAATCTACAGGTCTTGAGTTCGAATCCCGCTGTACCAATGTGATTTTCGAATTTTCATATTTACATAATTTACCCGACGTTCTTACGGTGAAGGAAAATATCGTGATGCAACCTGCACAAATCTGCTAAGAAATCCAAAGATATGTGTGAAATCAACCAACCCGCAGTGCAGCGTGGTTGACTATGGCCTAGTCACGCCTTACTTAGGGTAGGCTCCGAGCCCCTCGGTGGGGACATGTAGTGAGCTGGTGATGATAATGATGATGAATATTTTATTACATATCTCCAAATACATTCAACATATCTAGTAGATGGTACAGATGTAAATCACATTCTAGAAGAACTCAGATTTTCTAGAATCCTCAATGTTGCAGTTCTAGTGGGATTATTTTGTTTCTCATAGTTCCCTGCAGCCGTTCAACATATCTTATTGAAATTTGGCACAAAAATAGAACATAGTCTCCTGAGGGATTGCATATAACAAGAAGGATGTTAGTTATGAGTGTGTGTACCGGTAGAGGTCAAGGGCGGATCCAGCTTTGGCGCTAGGGGAGCGGTCACATAGGTGTGGTCAAGTCAAGAGCTTGACAAAACATGTAAATATATTTTGTGAAGCTCTTGACCAATCAGCTCAGGGGGGGAGGTCATGACCCTCATGTCGCCCCCCTGGATCCGCCGTTGGTAGAGGTAGACATAGAAAGAGAAGTATTGTGTGAAATGTGACATGATGGAGTGATGATTGAGATGACGGATGATGTTCTTTGAAGGATGAAAACCTGATGCCAATACAGGACTAGGATAAGGTAGGGGAGTTGGTGATAGTACATAGTCTAACATGAGAGATATCTCCCTTCAAAAATAATTTTATAAAGAGGAAAGATTTGTATTTTTTTATGTATTGAAATGACTCAAAAACTACTGGACCGATTTCAAAAATCTTGCACCATGTAAAAGCTATGTTATCACTGGTGACATAGGCTATTTTACTAATTTTTTTAAATTATACGCGGGCAAAGTCTCGAGCTACAGAGTTTTTAATATAATTATAGAAGCAGAGGTAAATATGAATACCATAGACAGAAGCATCGCGGCAAAGTGACATGTTCAGTGTGCAATAGAGACTTCTCCTGTCGCAGTTCTCTGTCTACCCACCAAACAACAGTACATAATACAACTCCTAAAGAAAACATGTAAGTATACTAGAAACCAATTGAAACCATTAACCATAAACATACTATAATCTATACATTTAAAATTGGAGTGTCTGTAATATCAAAAAGAAAAATTCCATATTTCGGGAAGATAACTGCTGATAACGAAAATTCATTTAAAAAAAAATTCTGTCTGTCTGTCTGCAAGCCGCGTTTATTCCGGGTAATCTCCGAAACGGCTGGGCCGATTTCGAATGAACTTTCACAGGAGGGTAGCTGGTAAAAATATGTACACGCGGGATTGTTACAGACGACCATTTTTTTTAAATACTACGCTAACAAAGTAAACAACAGCTCGTAGTAAACATGATTCACTTCAGTTTCAGACACTACTGTCAGCCGTGTGAGAAATTCTTCAAAACAAGTAGTAGTTACAGCAAACATTTGCGTATTTCAGCACGACATATAGATCCACAATTACTACGGTGAGAATTTTAAATTGTCCAGTCTAAACTGAACCCTATTTGAAATGTAAATTAAAGGAATTACAGGTCAATTTACACTAGACATTAAAATCTCCTAACTTTTTTATTATAGAAATAATTTAAAAAAAAAAAAACAAACACTAAACATTAAATCAAACTTAATATAATAAATAGCTGTTCCCGTGCGAATTAATCCGCATGAAATTATGAAAATTTTATTTTATTGTTCACATCTGTCAAATTATCAATTGCAAATGTCAAAATTATATGACATGATGACAACCTTGCTTCCTTGATGTTGGCAGCAACTTATGGTCTCTTTCCCACATTAGGGTTTTTATCCAAAATATGTACCCCTAAGTTTAATGGCGTTAAAATATATAGCCTAAAGCGTGACGTAAGTGTAGGGCTTTTTATTAAAGAAAGAATTATTCAAAAATATGCTGTAATTGCTGACATGTTAGGCAACAAACTGTGTGTTTACGCTTTATTATAATAGTATAGATAGTATAAACTGCATCAAAATAAGTTAAACCGTTTATGAGATTATCGCACACAAACACAGACAAATATTGCAAAGTGGGAGTTCTATATAGATGTATAGATATTACATATATAGATTATCTATAGTGATATAATTACTACTAAATACTTAGCAAGTATTCTTTATTGATTTCAGTTATTGCTGTCCTACTTGTGGTAAAGGATTTCTAACGTGTAAAGAAAGAGATAGACATAATGAGACAGTACATCTTCAAAAGAACAGGCTGAAATGTACGCGATGTCCGCGACAGGTTAAATAATTTATGAATAACTTATCTAAGGGTGACACTTAGTAGTTTTTATGAGAGATATCAATGATTGTCTCACTTATATTTGGTAATTAAAAAAATAAACATTAAATGTGTCCCTGAGTGATTTAAGTGTCGCCCCAAGTGTAAAATTAAGTATTGAAGTGTTTCCTCAAGTGTAAAATTACAATAGATTTAAGTGTCGACCCAAGTGTAAAATTAAGTTTTGAAGTGTTTCCTCAAGTGTAAAATTACAATAGATTTAAGTGTCGACCCAAGTGTAAAATGAAGTTTTGAAGTGTTTCCTCAAGTGTAAAATTACAATAGATTTAAGTGTCGACCCAAGTATAAAATTAAGTTTTGAAGTGTTTCCCCAAGTGTAAAATTACAATAGATTTAAGTGTCGACCCAAGTGTAAAATTAAGTTTTGAAGTGTTTCCTCAAGTGTAAAATAATAAAAGATTTAAGTGTTTTCCCAGGGGTAAAATTACAATAGAATTAAGTGTTTCCCCAAATGCATAATTATATTAGATTTAAGTGTCTCCCCAAGTGTAAAATAATAGATTTAAGTGTCTTCCCAGGTTACAAATTAGAGTAGATATCTCTTAAAAAATCTACTTCGTTAAGTCTGAAAGCAGTTTAATTTTGTATTTTTCAGTACTGCAGTGTCCGAGCTTTGCGGTGTCATATGAGACGCCATGTTGGTGGTATCACCAAACGGGACTATGTATGCGAAATATGTGGCATTGGCTTCAAGGTAACACTAACTTTTACATTTACAGCTTGTTACACGTTTTTTTACACTTTTTCTTTTAAATTAGGGTTTTTTTTAACTCAAAACTATTTAACAGAGTATTTTTAGTGTTTTTTGTGAACATAGATATTTAGATTTTTTTAAATTGTAATCACATTATGAAATTTTCTAATTTCAGTCCGGACAAGTTTTGAAAGGACATCAAAGAGTGCATGAAAAGGAGAAATCTCAAGAAAAATAACATTATTGTAGAAACAAATTTAACATTAAATATGAAATAACTACATTTTTTTAATAATTTCCTAGACATTAACAGTCTTACTTAACTCAGTATAAAGTTAAACTTAGGAATAAGTAGAACCTCGAGTTAAAGTCCAAGGGAAACATAAAATACTTTAAGTTATAGAGGTTTTAAGTTATCAAGGGTCTGTTGTAGAGGTTTTGGGCTCTGATGGGACGGGAACATATTATTTTTTTAAGTTATAGAGGATTTTAAGTTATCGAGGTTCTACTATATAAGTAAAATTAGTACAAATATTCGTTTATTTGTAACTTGGGTAAAAAAACGATTTACGATAGTAAAGGCTGACTGAAAAAAAAATATTCAAGTCGTACTTTTTAAACAAGTATATTAACTTGAAAATTATAATTACAGTTTTTATATACAATAATACAGAATACACTAAATTCATGGTTTAAAAGTTAAATTTCTTTAAAAATAAACAACTGCCTTTAGAATATCTATGGTGAAGCTTACCTTCGTGTTTTTTCTACCTTCAATTGGAATTAACTTTTGTTTTTAACTTGTACTACCTTCAGTTGAAATTAACATCTACCTTCATTTAGGTTTTCCATTAATTAGATGTTTTTCTTCTACCTTCAATTTTTAAACTTTGTTTCAAGTTTTTCTTGTTCTACCTTCATTGAATTTAATATCGACAATTATATTCTTCATTGTTCTAACTTCCGATGTTAATCAGTTTTTTCGTGTTATACCTACAATTGGGATTAAATTTCATTTTAATTTTAAACTACCTTCAACTTAATTTAATATCTACCTTCATTTTTAAACTACCTTCAGATGGATTTAATATCTTTACATTTTAATTTCTCTTGTTTTTGTTAATAAGAATAACATGTTGATATACTTATTTGCATTTAAATAAATTACCAATAGTTATTAAATATTTTAAAGGTTTACAAGGACTGGAGACGGCATCAAATTTAACTGTTTAGTACCTTTTAGAGAAAGTAGCGGTGAAAAAAAAAATCCTAGTGTATTTTTTTATATCATAAGGAGGCAAACGAGCTAGCAGTTATCCGATTTCGCCAAAATGGCGAAGGGACTGCTGCCCAGAGATACGCAATAGCGAAAGCGTTGCCCTTGATCGATGGAGACGCACACAAAGAGGATATTTCCCCTTCCTATCCTCCACCGTCAAATCCACGGTCCCTTCCATTCCTCTTCGTATAAGAAAAAGGGTGGATTGATAAATAATACATTAAAATGTAGAACAAAATTGTCCTTTACAGTATTTAAATTGGACAAATAGTTTAGAAGATATCGCGAACACAAACAATAAAGGTAACCGAAAAATCCGCTTACAAGCTACCGGGCTTAGAAATTTGGAATCTTGCATCGGCAGATTTCTGTTAATACGTAGATTACTACTAAGTTAATTTTGGTATAGTGTGTCTAAATAAAATAGATTAGTTTGATAAATAACGCATATGAAGTATCGAATTCAATTTGTATGAAGGCATGCCGTACTTAATAGACAGGTATCGTAGTGACGAAACAAACACGCAGCGAACAATTATGAACTATTGATATTCGGTTTAAATAATTATCGAACTCAACTAAAATTTTTATTTTCTTATTAACTAATTTAGAGGTTAATTCTAGTATTGATAATAGTGTAGAGAATTTAGAGATGACAGAAATAATAGCAAAATCCAATTCGATTACGTACAGCTGTAGTAGTAATAGACATTTATTTACTCTTATTATTTGTTATGGTCATTATGAATTTGAGAAAACAGTGTTTTTTTTTTTATTTCATGTTATATAACTGTAAATCTATTGATTCCAACTTCTATAAGAATAAAAATCGAATAACGATAAGATTCATGACTGATTACACAACCCATCCCTACTAAATTTGAAATGAATTGTCAAACTAATCTAAATTATTTAGACACACTATAGGTTGAAACTTTTTTGGACAAGTCGCCGGTAGTCTATATTAATATTATAAAGAGGAAAGATTTGTATTTTTGTATGTATTGAAATAACTCAAAAACTACTGGGGCGATTTTAAAAATTCTTTCACCATTAGAAAGGCAATTTATCTGTGAGTAACATAGGCTATATTTATTGTTATTTTTAGTTTTCACGCAGGCGAAGTCGCGAGCAACAGCTAGTTTTAACAGTGGTAGTGCCCACTTTAACAAGTTAGCACTGCAGGGCACGCCCCCAGTAATACCACGACCACACAAGACAGGCGTCAAATGGAACCAATTCCGTGTACAGTCTGATAACCTGAGGCCTAATTTAAGCCTCTTTCTTTTTACCACCCTTTTCTTATAAAGAGAGGTTGGGAAGGAGAAGTGGATTTGACAGTGGAGGAGATGCATAGGAAGGAGAAATATCCTCTTTATGTGCGTTTCCTCCTCCATCGTATAAGGGTAGGCAACGCATCTGCAATTGCCGATGTCTATGGGCAGCGGTCGCTTCGCCATTTTGGCGATGTTATAAAAAAAAAGTTAGTTATAAATACCTTAGTTTTCTCGTTATCAATGAATTCGACGACTCGTTTCGCGGGCGTTATATTGTGAACTCTCTTCCTATGCGTGTAAAGTGACGCCTTCTGTTTGAATGTTTGGTAGCAAATGTTACATGATAACGGTCTTTCTCCTGAATGGATGACTTCGTGTTGGTTTAAAGATTTCTTGTCCTGGAAAATAAAATATCACTTACGAATGCGAAACTTTAGTTTGTAGACTAAACTGATGTTCGGATTTTGATAAAATTTGACAAAAATAGATAGTCTGAACACATATTTTTTGTAATATAAGGTGACAGAGCACGCGGCCTGAATCCACCGAAATGGAAAGCGACTGCACATAAACATCGCAATTGCAGCGCTGCCTACCCTTCATTGTTGGAGACGCACATAAAGAGGACATTTCCTCTTCCTATGCGTCTCCTCCACCGTCAAATCCACTTTTCCTTCCTCTTAAAAAAAGGTGGAAAGGGAAAGGGACTAAAATGAGGCCTCCGGCACCACACTCATCAGACTGTACGCGGAATTGCTTCCACTTCAGGCCTACCACTGTCTATTTAGACTCAGTTTTTTTTTAATTCTACCGGACCAAGGTTGCGGGCGAGAGCTAGTTATAAAGAAATGTGAAACTTAGGATTAATATTTTTATATTATATTGAAATTTGTTACAAATGTTGTCAATATATTGGCAACTTATTGTCACCAACCACTCTCGAGTATCTGTTGAAATAATTATAATATAGAAGTAAAAACGATGTTACTCCAATTTAATTAAAACATATTTTTATTTGTGAAAAAACAAAAAAAAAAGTCATCCTTGACAAAAAACATTATGACAGAATATTTTTGATTAAAAAAACAGAAATTCCAAGGAGTATTTCAACAGTATCTTTATTCTAGATCTAGCCAAATTCTCTTTACACCTACTTATAATTTAATTATATAAATTTATCGCAGGAAAAATATTCCTTTTCTGTTCGACAGAGTAGGGGACGTACAGAAAGGGGATAATATAGTTTACTCTTACCGTGAATCCCTTGCCGCATTGCTGACAGACGTGGTTCTTTGGTTTCTCCTTCTTTTCTCCGTGTACCCTCATTAGATGTCGTTCAACGTTGGCTCGAGACGCTATAGGCTGAAAAATTAATATACACGACATTAATTTAGTATTATAGTAACTATAAGCATTATAATTTAGGACATATGTAGGTATGATAAGTTTTCTATATGGTTCTGCCATTTTAATACCAATTCCTTAACAAAAGGTAGGTAAAGAACGCGCCAACGCGCCTGTTATTTTTTAATAGCAATTTCCCAACTAAAGACACTTTCGCGCCAAAGCGCCTGTTATTTTTTATACACACTTCACTCTTGGCTTACTAGCCAACTGAAGGTACTCCTTCAGTTGGTCAATCAACTGGCACAGTGTAAACTATAACTGTTGCCAGTAAGTCTATAATATCAATAGTCGTCTCAACTATCCAACTGTAATATCCAAATGTGAACCTGTCATAAAGGCATTTTCACACAAATGCGCCTGCCATTTTTTAAAAGCAATTACTTAATTCAGTTTCTCCTGCCTTGTTTTTTAAAAGGTGTAGTGTAATATTTAATAGCAATTGAATTATTTACCTTATCACATAGGGGACATTTGTGCGAGGTTTTGCCGAGATGTTGGTAATTGAAATGGTCCTGCATCGCCTCTTTACTAGGATACCCCTTATTGCACATCGGACAAGGGAACCTGAAAGTAAATATAATTCTATCAATAAAAATCTCACGTAAGTACATTTGAGAGAAAAACGTTGCCCTCAAATCATGCTATATATACTTGTACACTAATATTACAAAGAGGAAGATATGTATTTTTGTATGTATTGAAATAACTTAAAAACTACTGGGCTGATTTGAAAAATTCTTTCACCATCTAAAAGCTATGTTATCAGTGAGTAACATAGGCTATATTTTTTGAATCCGCGTGAATACAGTCGAGAGTAACACCTAGTATTAATATAAAGAGGAAAACGTTATTGTACATGTAACATATAAACTCAAAAACTACTGGGCCGATTTGAAAAATTCTTTCACCATCAAAAAGCTATGTTATCAGTGAGTAACATAGGCTATATTTTTTGATTCCACGTGAATACAGTCGAGGAGTAACAACTAGTATTAATATAAAGAGGAAAACGTTTTTTATATGTATCATATAAACTCAAAAACTACTGGGCCGATTACAGAAATTCCTTCACCATTAAAAAGCTACAATACATAACTGTGTAACATAGGCTATGTTTTTTAATTTCATGTGTATGAACTTAAGCAACATCTAGTAAAGACAAGTTTCCTATCAAATTCAGCAGAAACCTTACTATCTTACTAATATAATAAATGCAGAAGTTTAGATGGATGTTTGTTAGAGTTTGTAGCCTAAACTGCTGAATAGATTTTGATGAAATTTGGTACAGATATAGATGATAGTCTGGAAGAACACATAGGATGCTCACTTTTGTTTTTTTTTTCCACGCGGACGGAGTCGTGGAGCAAGCTAGTAAATAATAAAAACACTTACTTAAGGACTTGTTCAGATGCATGAGCTCTTGAATATTTGAGATGTCCTTGGTACGTAGTGAGGTAAGAAAATACCTTGTTACAATCGGTACATTCGTACCGACCTTTATTCTCATGTCGCTGTATGTGGTATTTTAACTGCACTACGCGTACCAATTTAGAACAAATGGGACATGGTTCTCTTGGAGGTGGACCTTCATGTAACCTGTTATCATACTATTATAAATGCGAAAGTTTAGATGGATGTTTGTTAGTTTGTAGCCTAAACTGCTTAACGGATTTCGACGAAATTTGGTATAGATGTAGGGTAGTCTGAAAGAACACATAGGCTATTCACTTTTTTTTTAATTCCACGCGAACGTAGTCGCGGGCGAAAACAAGTATAGGAATAACGATAAAATTAAAATAAGTTTGTATTTTTTTGTATCGAGATAACTCAAAAACTACTTGGCTAATTTTAAAGATACTATCACCATTAGAAAGCTACGTTATTAGTGAGTGACATAAGCTATATGAATTCCACGTAAACGAAGTCATGAGCAACAGCTTGTATAATATAGAAAAGGTAAAAGTATCATCTTAGCATATAACTTACTTTAAATGTGTTACTAATGTAGTTCTATTGACAAATCTCTTCTTACAATGGTCACATTGTAACCCTTCCCTATGATATCTAGCGACGTGCGCTTTACGCGCTCTCGAGTTCCTACAAAACAAGTATTAAACATTATAAAAAAGCAAAAGATCTAAATAATTTTAATGCTATGACGATCTGTATAAAAATACGAATCGAATGACACCTCAGTTGTCAAAATCGTTTCAGTCGTTGAAGAGATAAGAGATAACATACATACAAACAGTCTGACAGTGGTAGTGTCCGCTTTAACATCTTAGCACTGCAGGGCACGCCCCCAGTAATACCACGACCACACAGAAGACAGCCGTCAAATGGAAGCAATTCCGTGTAGTCTGATGAGTGTGGTGCCGGAGGCCTAATTTAAGTCCCCTTCTCTTTACCACCCTTTTCTTATAAGGAGAGGATGGGAAGGGGAAGTGGATTTGGCAGAGGAAGAGATACACAGGAATGGGAAATATCCTGTTTATGTGCATCTCCTCCTCTGTCAGATAAGGGTAGGCAACGCATTTGTAATTGCGGATGTCTATGGGCAGCAGTCGCTTCGCCATTTTGGCCGATTCAGGTGGCCGCTTGCTCGTTTGCCACCTTTTGTTATAAAAAAAAAAACAAACATCGTCATAATGTTTGTCTGTGTGTTTGTGTTCGCTAATCTCAGAAATGGTTGAAACAATTTAAATGCAGTTTTTAGTAATGTATTGTGGTTAGTTAAACTTAAAATTTAGTGTTAGTATCATATCTATTGACACTAGTAATCTAGAGGGGTAAGCAGAGATGGTTTTCCTTTTATCACTATTCTAAGATTTTGTCTAAAATGTATTTAAGATACTAAACTGTACAATTTTAAAGCACTCACTTAAAGAACATATCACATTCTAAACATTGATATCCAACGATTGTAGTTTTTGAAAGCAATTTCCGTAAACCTTTTGGATCAGAAGGAGTCGATGGTGTAGTGGATGATGCATCTTTTTTCTTCTTTTTTTCACGCTGAAAGTATAGTTACTACATTAAACACTTTTTTAAACAAAAATTAAATACCTGACTAGAAATTTAAATCACTTACCAATTTTTCAGCTTGCTTCGAATCCCCGATCTTGATGAGAGAGCTCGGCAACTTCTTCTCGTGGTGTGTCTGCACGTGCAGCTGCGCGCAGCGCACGCTCGCCTCGGCGTGCCCGCAGAGCCGGCACACGTGCCGCACGTAGTGGCCCTGCACGTGCTGCGACACGCGCCCCTCCTCCACGTACGAGTAGCACACCTTGCACGGCGCGGTGCCCTCCCTCTGCGCGACGCGACGGGGGAACTATCTCAGCTGTGCTAAGCCACGCAACTACTGTGACGTCACAGGCACACGTGCCGCACGTAGTGGACAAATATTGTATTCTCAAAGTTATTTCAAAATCGACAAAAGTTGTAATGTATAAATGTCTGGCAAATTTTTTAGTCTAAGAATCTTACTGGCAAACATTGTAGTCTTAAAATAACAATCTGGCAAATGTTGTAAACTTAAAATATCAATCTGGCAAAATTGTAATCTTTCAATGAGAATCTGGCTAATGTCGGAGACTTAAAATATCAATCTGGCAAACATTGTAGCCTTTTAATGACAATCTGGCAAATGTTGTAGACTTAAAAGTACAATATGGCAAATAGTGTCAATTTTAAGTAACATTTCAACTATGTATGTAGTGTTTAGTGTAACGTGTTGACTTACAGCTTTATGCGCGCACTCGTAATGTTCTTCCACTTGTTGTTGCGTGTAGAAACCAACAATACAAAGTTCACATTTATGTATAGCACCGACATAAGCGAATTTCTTTTTAGCTTCTTCCCTAAAAACATATAAAAAGTAAAAGAGACATACAGTAAGACAAAGATGTTTTAAAAGTTATACATTTTCTATCTGTTGTGAACCGTATGACTATTAGGTTGTGTTCTCACGAAAGACGTATGTATAAACGGGACAGTCATCAAAATGTTTACACCGGTACATTATCTAATAGGTACAATATCACTTATCAAGTTAAGTGTCGTCTCGTATTAACAAATAATAAAATATAACAAGCTCCTTTTCAAAATTAAAATATAAACATTTAAATATAATTCAATGACACCTATTGGAAATCAATATTTAGATAACTAGCTTTCGCCCGCGACTTCGTCCGCGAGGAATTAAAAAAAAAATACCCTTTGTGTTTTTCTAGAATATCCTCTACATCTATAGAGAATTTCATGGAAATCCGTCAAGCCGTTTAGGCTACAAACATCCATCCATTCATCCATACATCTAAACTTTTGGATTTATAATATTAGTATGAGTATGATAGTATGAATTATTATATTGACTTATTTTGAGGATCTCTGAATAGATATTGTTAGTGATTTTTGACAAATGTGTCAAGTGCCTACTCTATGTAATTTGAATATCTTTGTTTCTCACCTAAAAGCTAGCATATCTTCTTCATTCATATACTCCGTTGTGTACCCAGCTTTTAAATCAGGCTTTTCTTCTATACCGTCTTGTATTTGTTCAACTTTTGCATTCAAATTTGGTACATCTATTGACCTGAAAACACAAGATTTCATAGTTTTTTTTTATAATATAAGATGGCAAACGAGCAAGCGGCCACCTGAATCCGCCAAAATGGCGAAGCGACCGCTGCCCATAGACATCTGCAATTGCAGATGCGTCGCCTACCCTTATCCGACGGAGGAGGAGACGCTCATAAAGAGGATATTTCCTCTTCCTATGCATCTCCTCCATCGTCAAATCCACTTCTCCTTCCCATCGTCCCATAAGAAAACGGTGGTAAAGAGAAAGGGAATTAAATTAGGCCTCTGGCACCACACTCATCAGATGAAACACGGAATTGGTTTCATTTGACGGCTGTCTTCTGTGTGGTCGTGGTATTTCTGGGGGCGTGCCCTGCAGTGCTAAGATGTTAAAGCGGGCACTACCACTGTTAAGTATAGTAATTTATATAATATAGTATAAAATATATAGTATAGTAATTTGTACTAATAATATAAAGAGGAAATATTTGTATTTTTGTATGTATTGAAATAACTCAAAAAAATACAAGACTTTTAGAACTCTTTAACCGTTAGAAAGGTAATTTATCTGTGAGTAAATTTTGAAGTGTAATATAAACTACAAATTGCTTGCTAAATTGTCCAGGTGAAAGTAAAAATAATAAAACAAAGCCTATGTTACTCGCAGATATATTACCTTTTTAATGGTGAAAGAATTTTTAAAATTGGCCCACTAGTTTTTACATGAATCATATACATACAAAACAAATCTTTCCTCTCTATAATATTAGTATAGACTAGCTGTTGCTCTCGATTTCGCCCACGAGAAATATGAAAAATAGTAAAAATATAGCATAAGTTCCTCTGTGATAACATAGCTTTTTAATGGTGCATAATTTTTTGAAATTGTCAGGTAGTTTTTGAGTTATTTCAATACATACAAAAATCCAATATTACAAATTTTTCTCTTTATAATCTATACTTAATATAGTATAATAAAACTATTTTTTTAATAAAAAGCCCTACACTTACGTCGCGCTTTAGTCTATATATTTTCACGCCGTTAAACTTAGGGGTAAAAAACCCTAATGTGGGAAAGAGACCATAAGTTGTTGCCAACATCAAGGCAGCAAGGTTGCCATGGTTTGACATCATGTCATGTCATTTTACATTTGCAATTGATAATTTGACAAATGTGAACAATAAAATGATTTTTTTCTAATTTCATGCGGACGAAATCACATAGGAGCAGCTAATATTAGTATGAAATCACTTACCTGACTGCAAGTTCTGGTATAACTATATCGGGATCCTTGTAACCTGTGTCCGCAGCTAAATGTTCAGCATTTATCATAATATGAGGCACTGTTTGACCGTCTATTACTACTGATGGTACTGTGTATCAGAAATAATGTTAGTTGTATAACAAAAAACCTCATTAAGTGTGACACTCAGGATAGAAATTAAATGACATCTCACACTATTACAATTAGAAATTAAATAACAACTATTACGGGGAAAGGACGACGAAATATGTAATACCTAATTTATATAATATCATTAACTTTCTCAGAGATGAAAGCATTGTCAATAAATCCAAAAACATTGTAAAAAATAAATTAAGAAATCATTTTTTTTTTTTTATAATACGAGGTGACAAACGAGCAAGCGGCCACCTAAATCCACCGAAATGGAAAGCGACCGCTGCCCATAAACATCCGCAATTGCAGATGCGTTGCCTACCCTAATTGACGGAGGAGGAGACGCACATAAAGAGGACATTTCCCCTTCCTATGCGTCTCCTCCACCGTCAAATCCACTTTTCCCTCCCATCCTTTCCCCTTAAGAAAAGGATGGAAAGGAAAAGGGACTAAAGTTAGGCCTCCGGCACCACACTCATCAGACGAAACGCGGAATTGCTTCCACTTCACGCCTGTTTTCTGTGTGGTCGTGGTATTACACCGGGCGAGCCGACCCATTCGTGCGAAGATGTTAAAGCGGGCTCTACCACTGTTGAATTGAATTTCTTACAAGATTAATGTAACTAGTAAATATATAAGAATTAAGTAGGAGATACATTAAGGTATATTTATAAGAAATGGGTGTTTGTCGCCAACAAACTGCTGTGCAGTTTGGCGACATTTTTATTTGTAAATTTTTATGTATTTCTTTTCTGTATGTAAATAAATAAATAAAATAAAATAAATAAACTTCAATGGCTTAAACTAGACTTTTTTACTAGTCGCTGACAACTCACACTTCAGTGGCTTAAACTATGACAAGTTCTAGTTTGGACTACAGCGCGGGATTTTAAAAAAAAGTAGCCTATAATATGCCTATCCATGTCAACTACCCTCCAGTGAAAGTCCTGCGAAAATAGGTCCAGCCATTTCAGAGATTACCAAGAACAAACGCGGCTTGCGGACAGACAGACAGACAAATCTTTTTAAATGCGATTGTCGTTATCAGCAACACAAATACATTATCCTCCCGAAATCTAGATTTTCTTTTGATATTACAGACACTCAAATTTTATTATATTTAGGTAGTGAATAAATCGGAAATAATCATGCGAGAAAGGGACAACTACAAGCCAATAAGAGTAAAGAAGCAAAATCACTATGGTAATTGTTAGCCAATGGCGGAGACCTTTTTTGTCATTTGAATTTGACATTTTACAAATGTTAACACTAAAATAAAGTCTATTTATAATTTAATGCGGACAAAGCCACATGGGAACAGTAAATAATAAAATCCTACTAATATTATAAATGCGAAAGTTTAGATGGATGGATGGATGGATGGATGTTTTTTAGCGTTTGTAGCCTAAACGGCTGAACGGATCTCCGTGAAATTTGGCACAGATTTAGAGTATAATCGGGAAGAACACATAGGCTACTTTTTATCCCTGGAATAGGTACGGTTCCCTTGGGATTCATTAATTTAGTTTTTTAATGTTTACTCGATCATTCTGCAACGGTTCAACATATCTTATTGAAATTCGGCACAGATATAAAACAAAAACTGGAGTACACATGGGATAAGCTTCATCCCCGATAAATGTCCGGTTCCCGGGAGACGTAGCTTTTTGTAATTTATATAGTTCGTATGTTTTCTAATACTACGCGGACGAAGTTGCGGGCAACAGCTCGTTACTAATAAAATCACATACCAGTTAACATATTTTCATCCAATTCCAAGTTAATATTCTCTCTCACGACTTGAGCGATATCATATTGTTCATTTTTTATATTCTCCGATGTGCTGATCTCGATATAATGTGGAGACCATTCCGTCAATAACTTAGCTGTTGTATCAATATATATTTTGTCATAACCTAATTTTAATATCATTTCCATAGACGATAAGGATTGGGATAAATAAGTGTGGTCCATATTCTGAAAAATTATTAACTACTTCGATTATTAACTTAATAACTAGAATAAAATAGTCTAAAGGTTCAGAAACTTTTTTTCATTAAGATGGTAAAATCTAAACAATCGCTGCCCAGTTGCACTGCCTACCCTTAATTGACAGGGGCGCACATAAAGAGGACATTTCTCTCATCTCTCTCACCTCTATCATGTATATCATTTGCCATCATTCTTTAAAACTGAATAATGTTTCAAAAGAAAAGAAGTTTTGTTTGAACACATGTACATTTTTATAGCAGATGGATTGATAAGGCAAAGAATCATCACCAGCTCACTATATGTCCCCACCGAGAAGCTCGGAGCCTACCCTAATTAGACCATAGGCAACAAATGTTTCCCATAAATTGTCGCCTACTCTGACAAATCTACTTTCCCTTTTCATCCAGTCTATTAGAAAATGATAGGAAATATGATAGAATTAAAATTTAACTTCTGGATTGTATACTTCAAAGGTAAGGCAAAATTACATCTACTTTATGCCCATCTTTTGTATGGTATATGTAAAAAATAAATATAAAAACATCATACATACTTCCTGTGATTCGCTGATGACTCGTAAATGTTGCTGAGCTGTTTGTACTTTTTCTCTGAATTTGGTAAACTTCCTCAACATGGCAATACATTCCCAACACACTTCTAGTGTCTGGCCACTTAATGTGTCAAACTGAAAATGAGAAAATAATAATTTTAAAAACAATAATTACAATTGAACTGCAGTGCGATAAACTTTGTAACTCTGCTGTGATTTTATTAGTGTTACTTCTGTAAACATATTAACTTTGGCATAGTAAATGACACACAAGGCACTTAAAGTACAAAAAAGATAAAACTATTTACTAATGGATGGATATTTGTTAGAAAGTATATCTCGAAAAGATATAAGGATCTAGATGAAATATGGCACAGTTGAAAAATATAGGCTGGAAGAACATATAGACTGTTTATTTATTTTTTTGATTCCGGGAAGACGAAAGAACGCAAAAGTTAATATAAATAAAATCTCCTTTACTTTCTGTCTCTTGTGCATAACTCTTAGATTATTTTACTTTGCACTATAACTAAATAAATATATGGACAAGAATTTAATTTCGGAATATAGTTTAAAGCAATTTTATAAACTTTTATTCCAATTTAATTATTGAAATCACGGATTATGTACAATGTAGAGTATATCTAAGAGCTTTGTTAAAGCCATAAAAGGCTTTGCCCGCACTTGTATAATACAAAATATTATTGAGCATGTAAAAGTTTGGTAATTTTAAAAATACTCACTTCACCCGCGAAATCGTAAGTTAGCAGTCGAAACATTTGGAATAAAACAGATTGTTCGTTTAAAATAATTATATCACGATCTGAACTAAGGCAAGTATTACAGATCCTACGCTGTACAGTTTCCACATCTTGCTCCATTTTATTACAATTCTAAACACTTTTTTCGTACAATCTGAATAAAACTATCACTTTGAAATGTTATATCGAATCATAACAAAAAGTAATACTCCCATGTAAAATAGACGAAATTTGATGAACAACTTTTAATAGTACCACGACACTACAAAATGGCCGCTTATGTTTGCTGCTTTGACTTTAAACGTCAGGACCTGTCATCACATGTTCCTCACTGACATAGATATACATAAATAGATAGGCGATTATTTGAAAAGGACAGGTTTTGCTTTGATTTACTTCGGAATTGAATGCGCTTTTTGTTGTTCGCTATTTTTAGTTGGAAAACGTTCCTTCGTAACCAACCGTAACCATCAGCACCAAATTGTCGTAAATGTTAGATACAAAACACTATGGTTTTAAGCCTATCGATTTATAGAGGTTAATAGTTTTACTGGATATAACCGCGATCACAGCGCCACTCTCACCGGTCTGGAAAATTTTGTGTTTCAATACAAAAACGCTTTAATGCCTAGTCCCTTTATCAACAGTCAAGGGTTAGTTGCATTTTTGTGTTGCTAGCTCTTAATTTTAAAATAACTTGGTAATATTAAAAAAAAAAGTAGTAAAAACCTTTAAAATGTCTCTTCATAAGAACTATGGATTTCTTAAGTTCAAACTCTAAAATTACCAACTCATTCCAACAATTATAACAATAAACAATTTGACAACAATAAACTTTACGTATGAATTTATTTTGGTTTCATATAGTTTTTCATTGTAACCGTAACCTTTGGGAAGTGGGTTAAATAAATAAAACTCATTATTTGTACATATTCTTGAATTAAATACAAGTGATATAAATATACTTAAAAATAACACTAGCAAGTACAATACTGGGCGCTTGAGATGGCACGTCAGGTATAAAAGTTTACTTCTTCCTGACGTGCCAAATCAAATGCCGCTGTAAAAACAGAGTAGACAATTTTATTGTGAATGAAATATCCTTAAATGAAGAATCCTTCTCGCTTATCTTTTATCCAATAACTAGCTGTCATGAAATTATAAACACTTTCATTGTTTACATTTGTCAAATTCTCAATTGTGTATCTCAAAATTACCGTTACCATAATAACCTTGCTTCCTTAATGTTGGTAGCTTATAGTTTATGGTCCCTTTCCCACATTACCCCGTAAGCTTAATATCGTGAAAATATATAAATATAAAAATAAATCGTATTTTTACAGGTATCGATGTGTTTTTTATATATTTTATAAACAGTTATAAAATATGATTCTACTCCTGTAGTCAAATAACATAACAATATGATTTTTAATAAATAAAATTGTATTACGTTAAATAATAAATAAAAAAACTTCTCACCCAATGAGCTTAAGTAAAACTAAATTACAATAGCTTAGAAATATTTGTATTTTTGTATATTTTGGAATAACTCAAAAACAACAAAATAGCGAGCAACAGATTGTATATACTAAAACACAAATAATTCCAATAAAAACAAGACAAAGTACAATATATGCTAAAATCACGTAAAGACCTAATATTTCTTACATACCATTAGCTAACAATAAAATCACTTCTCTTTATCTCACGCTAGCTGTTCCCGTGCGACTTCATCCGCATGAAAAAATGAAAATTTTATTATATTGTTTAAATCTGTCAAATTATCAATTACAAATGTCAAAATGGTATGACATGTGACAACCTTGCTTCCTTGATGTTGGCAGCAACTTATGGTCTCTTTCCCACATTAGGGTTTTTCCAATCAAGATTCTGTTCCATGAGCCTTTAGTTAAAGGACTGAAGTTACACATACTAAAATATCACGAATCAAATCTTTGTAGAAATCCTGTTCTATGCCTCCAAAGATGCGCAATTTGCCGTAACCGCCCCTTAAGGACTTCAATCATTAAAAAAATGACATATTCTGACAGAGCCCAGGGACATAAGCATTCAGTGTTACCAATATACTACCTATATACCTATATACCTATATACCTATATACCTATATACCTATATACCAATACTACGCTGTAACATTTCTTTAACGTCCTCATTGTCCTTGCTTTTATTCTTAGTACAATTTACGGCGTATTTTCCTATGTTTGAATTATCTTCATCACGCTCCTAAAATCTTGTTAGAAAATTCAGCTAGAAACAGATTTTTACATTTTACACCATATAAAAAAACTTAACATAGATACAAAAACTGCTTCATACATTAATGATAAACGCGTTATGGAGATCAGCTGATATTCTAAGATGCAGATAGTCTAGTGAGGAACATGGTGATGGTCTAGGGAGAAACAGGGCGATGGTCTAGGGAGAAACAGGGCGATGGTCTAGGGAGAAACAGGGCGATGGTCTAGGGAGGAATAAGGTGATGGTCTAATGAGGAATAAGGCGATGGTCTAGGGAGAAACAGGGCGATGGTCTAGGGAGGAATAAGGTGATGGTCTAGGGAGGAATAAGGTGATGGTCTAATGAGGTATAAGGCGATGGTCTAGGGAGAAACAGGGCGATGGTCTAGGGAGAAACAGGGCGACGGTCTAGGGAGAAACAGGGCGATGGTCTAGGGAGAAACAGGGCGATGGTCTAGGGAGAAACAGGGCGATGGTCTAGGGAGGAATAAGGTGATGGTCTAATGAGGAATAAGGCGATGGTCTAGGGAGAAACAGAGCGATGGTCTAGAGAGAAACAGGGCGATGGTCTAGGGAGAAACAGGGCGATGGTCTAGGGAGAAACAGGGCGATGGTCTAGGGAGGAATAAGGTGATGGTCTAATGAGGAATAAGGCGATGGTCTAGGGAGAAACAGGGTGATGGTCTAAGGAGGAACAGACAGATAGTCTAGGGAGGTGCAAGCCAATGGTCCAGGAAAAAGCACTCGCATGTACAATTACATATAGATTTTTCTTTTTCTTACCTCTTGACATTTGTTACAAGTATATGATTTGAGTTTCGCATGTTTATATCTATAGTGTCGTCTCGCATTTTTGATACATTCGTATTTAGCGTCACACATCGAACAGCTGTAGATTGAAGTACCAGGTTTAAACAGGACGTTTAAGTTACCTCTTTCAATTTTCGATTTCTGATATAAAAAAAAATAAACAAAATACTGTACAGTCAATATAAATCATACTAATATTATAAATGCGAAAGTTTAGTTAGATGTTTGTTAGTTTGTATCCTAAACGGGTGAATGGATTTTGATGAAATTTGGTATAGATGTAGAGGGTAGTCTGGAAGAACACATAAGCTAATCACTATTGTTTTTTTTATTCCATGCGGACGGAGTCGCGAGCGCAAGCTAGTATGTATTTTTAGACAACTTCTTTAATTGATACTGTCGCTTTAAACTCAGAGCAACACTTCTCGCCAGGACTCTGGATGCGCGCCAATCTATCCATACTGCTAGTGACATTGACAGCTGTCAGCTAGAGACGTGACGTTTATGCCGATAATCTAGAGTTGCGCCAACTCTATAGCACGGTACTAATTTTGTTCCTAACAGTATATATTTACAAAGCTTTTATAGCTTAAAAAAACATTTTACAAGTATTCGTTAATGGCATGAATTTTTAGTACTGAAGCGTATCCTATTCGTGCATTCATATTGTTGATACCAAAGTAATATATAATTTTTTATAGTTTTGTAATATCACCAGCTCACTGTACGACCCCACCGAGGGGCTCGGAGCCTACCCTAATAAGGGGTAACTAGGACATAGTCAACCACGCTGCACTGCGGGTTGGTTGACTTCACACATATCTTTGAATTTCTTCGCCGATATGTGCAGGTTGCATCACGATGTTTTCCTTCACAGTAAGAACGTCGGGTAAATTATGTACATATGAAAAATATATTTACATATTCTGTCAACCTCTTGACTTGACCACAACTATGTGACCCCCCCCTGGCGCCAAAGCTGGATCCGCCCTTGGTTGATTCTGTGTCTTCTACTTCACCTGAAACATATTTAAAAATGGAATGCAGACATTTGAAAATATAGACAGGACATTTTGAATGTATTTATTCCACTGGTTCCATTGATCTATATAAATGGATAGGTTAATGCTTAGAATTGGCAACTTGTTGGAGTTTTTATATGTTTGTATACTGGCAGGCAACACTGTACACACTAAGAATGGTCTTTTAATATTAGAATAATATATAATTTAAATTATTAAGAATTCTACATTTGATGAAATATTGTGAGACTTCACATCTCGACACGGAACAAGTAACATTGAAGGACTAATAGACTTTGTACAAAATATGGTTCAGATATTTTAAATATAATGATGATTAACTAGAAGAAAGTGTTTCAATAGCCCCACACCTCCAGAGCCCCGGACGGGGGAAAGTAACCGTCCAACACAACTTTTGTTTAGAATTGAAGATTGAATCCTCATTACCTCTACCAACCACAAGTTAGCATCAGTATAGTGAAAATAATAATTAAAGTAAATTTATTAATTATGTATAAGAAATCAAATATACATTAAGGGACTCCCTTAGGAAGTTCCTAACAGTTTTCTATTAGATTCTGAGTGTTGTAAACAAACATAGAAAAGTACTTACGTTTCATTTGAGCTATATCCGCGTAGTCTACATTTTCTATACAATCCTCCATTTTAGAATTAAATGTATCACATTTATTTACAAATCATAATAGAAAAAGAACTATATCAATTCTCTAATAAACGAAATTACGTACATATCACAGTGTATATAAACATAAAATTGATAAAAAAAAATATTTTTTGACTTTGACGTTTGACGTCTGATGCACAAATGTGTTGCTATAGTTTTGTTTACGCATTTAGATTAAATAAATCAGGAAGTTAAAAGTGGTTAATTATTGTTGCTTTTAGAAAACCGCTCTATATAATTTTCACAATTTTACTTACTAAACAGAATCTATTTTTATGAATACCTAGTTGGGAAAATAACTAAAACATTTCTATTCACCAATACCATTGCCAACTTTTGAGTAAAAATAATAATGGCTGCCGTTTGTTTTGTTTTCAAAAATCAACAAATTCTTATAATTTTCATATTGTGTTTAAATTTATAAAATTCTGATGTTCCATATTTATAGTGGTTTTACTGATATACCTAAATGTTTATACAGTTTTTTGAACTTTATGTTTGAGTTTGAGTTATGTTTTAAGAATTGTAAAATGTTTCAAAATACGTTTGATTTAATATTTGGTAAAATAAAGAAGTAAATCTTTACAATGGAGTCAAAACCTGAGGCTGCACAGAATCTTCTCTGCATGGCTTGTCTGTGTGTGGAAAAGGCGTTACACGAATTAAAATCACTTGATATTATCAAGTATTATTTGAATTGCATTAGTGAAATTTCTGTGAGTATAAAAATTTTGGAATACACGAAATATTTTAAGCAAATATTCGCTGCTCATTTGGGGACAAATAATATCTTCTTTTATAAAAAAAAGTTACTCCTAAATATTGTCTTAAAATACCTTAGAAATTAATTTAATTACAAATTTGCATATTTCTCCAGCTCAGTGTTACACCGAAGTCTATAACAATATGTTGGGAATGTGAAGCTATGTTAAAGAGAGCTGTCACCTTTAGAGAACAAGTAAAGGACTCCTACAGGATACTCCAGACTTATACTAGTGAGGTAAGTTATCTATAATAGTATTATAAAGAGGAAAGATATGTATTTTTGTCTGAAAATTATAGAGATCCATTCAGCAGTTTAGGCCAGAAATGAATAAACATCCATCTAAACTTTGCCATTTATAATATTGGTGCAATCTTCATATATCTTTATTTCTTATTTTATATATAATGTATTTTACATGATTCGTATTAAAAACGTCGGTGGCTCAGTGGTTTAAGCACTTGACCTGTAATCTACAGGTCTTGGGTTCGAATCCCGCCATGTACCAATGTGATTTTCGATTTTTCGAATTTTCATATGTACATAATTTAACCGACGTTCTTACGGTGAAGGAAAACATCGTGATGCAACCTGCACATATCGGCGAAGAAATTCAAAGATATGTGTGAAGTCGACCAACCCGCACTTGGCCAGCGTGGTTGACTATGGCCAAGTCACCCTTACTTAGGGTAGGCTCCGAGCCCCTCGGTGGGGACGTATAGTGAGCTGGTGATGATGATGATGTATTAAAAAATAAAATAAAACACATTATATAAAAAATAGAACACCACCACCTGCAGAATCCGATAACTCAAGCAACCAGTGGTCGGGGCAGAAACAGGAACTTCCTCACTATGCGAGCGGTTTCTAAAATAACAGCGTTTGAATCGGGCTCTTAATCCACCTGTCTAGCGAGAGCTTCTTAAGATGTTGGTCGAAGCTCTTTGCAACTAGCCTGTGTACCTAAACGACTATAGCAATAATGGTAGTTGATTTCACACATCACATGGCGGTAACCTTGTGAACCATATCTAAATATTTTAATAAGTTTTCATTTTCGGCTTTCACAAGATTCTTGTCATGTGAGATAGTGATATCGTTATTACTAAGATTGAATTATAAGAAACATTTCAATATATTAAATCTATTTTTCTTGTATTATAAACCACAAAGTGTTAAGAATGAATGTGGATGGCTACAAAGGAAGAGGAAGACCGAAGAAAGTATGGATGGATTGTGTGAAAGAGGATATGCTTAAGAAGGGAGTGGATACAGATATGGTTGATAGAGATGTATGGAAGCACATACTGTGCCGACCCTCCGTAAGGGATAAGGGCAAGTTGATTTTTCTTGTATTATTCCAGAATCTTGCAGAGCGTCTCTTATCAGATGTTTCCAGACCTCCTAGATTAAAAATGTTTGCCAATGAGAATATTAACATTGTACCAGAGAATACTGAATGGATTAAAACATGGAGAAAAATTGAATATGTTAAAGATGAATTGAAAATTGAAGGTAAGTTACAGTCATATTGTGAACTTAGGTATTATACAATTTGACTAGTTATGTGATAAAATATGACATAAAGTAATGTTGTTACTGTTAGATTGTTAAGTAGGTTAAATTATAGTTTAACTACAATAAGGTAATATTTGAAATAAAAATAGTCAAAGATATTAAAACAATATTATGTGTATCTTATGCCTTTCTGTCCATGTGGAATCTATAGCTTCTAATAACATAATAAAATTTAAGTGTCTGTAATATGAAAAGAAAAATTCCAGATTTCAGGAAGATTATGTATTTCTCAAAAATTTTTTTGTCTGTCTGTCTGTCCTCAAGCCGCGTTTGTTCCGGATAATCTCCGAAATAGCTGGGTCGATTTAGACTGGATTTTCCCTGATTGGTAGCTGACATATACTGCCATATTATAGGCTACTTTTTTATCTCAATATTGCGTGGACAGAGTCGTAGGCAACAGCTAGTTAAAAAGAAAAGTTATAAGATAGCTTATTTGTTCTTCTAGATACACATCTGACAAATTTCATAGTGATCCATTAAATTATTTTAAAGTTGTAACATCCATCTATCCAAATTTTCGCAATCTTACTCCATACTAATATTATAAATGTGAAAATTTAGATGGATGGATGTTTGTTAGAGTTTGTAGCCTAAACCGCTGAACGGATTTCGATAAAATTTGGCATATATGTAGAGGATAGTCTGGAAGAACACATAGACTATTCCCTTTTGTTTCTTTTAATTCCACGCGGACGAAGTCGCGGGCGAAAGGTTATAATATAAGTAAGGTTAATTTAATTTTTTTTTGTAATTTCAGATGATAATTCAACAAGGAATCACTTGGAAGAGGTAGATGTTCTTATATCAGATAATTCTGATATAGAAGAAAACAGCAGACTTACTAAGATATCTAATATTAAGGTATTTAATCATCACTGCATACAAATTAACAAAATTTATATTCTAACTCCCTTTTTTAATATGTTTAATAAACCAAGATTTTAGTGTTAAAACTATATTTTTTTTCAATTTATTGGACAAAAACAAAAAAGTAAAAAATTAATTAATTAATATGTAATTAATATATAAATAATTAATTAATTATTTTATATATAATTAATTAATTATTAATTAATTAAGAAATAATTAATTAATTATTAAGGGTGGGTTGCACCATATCGCCGGTTACCGTTAAAGTTAAAATTATTTGTAATGGTAATATTTGGAATAACCTTAAAATTTACTAA